TATAAGTTATGCTTCTTTATTTTTTATACATTGCTTATGTGGCAACCCATGGATACTTTGTATTCTATTATCAATATATCTCTAGTTTTATTAAAAAAAAGAGAGTCAATTTTTATTTATATATCTGTATATTAATGATAAAAGGAGGTAGTTATCATAATCTTAGTTTGTGGTTTAAAAAACCCTACTTTAAGTTTCCCCTAAGTTATGGTATATAGAAAACTATCTGACAAATAATTGCTATTGACAAATAAATATTGAGAAAAGTAAAAAATAGAACATTTCAATATTTAAAATATGAGAATTTTTTATAAAATTATTTAAATACTTTTAATAAATCTTTTATAAATTATTTTATTAAAAATATTTTAAAATTTTCATTATTATTCAACGTCAAAATTTTTTTTCTCTCTATCCCATAAATATATATAAATATTTTTTGTACAAAAAGAATTGGGGGTAAGGGAAAGGAAAAATGAGAGGAAGAGGTTCGAAGAATCTCGATGGTGTAAGTAAAAGTTTATACAGTGATCATACAAGTTACATATTAAGATTTTCTTGTAAATATATACTTGTATTAATTTAATTTTCATGCATATAAATTCCAGTACAATTAATATTTAATATAAGAAGGTTCCGATGATATATACCTTTATTGTTTATTTTATTTAAGATTAATTAGTTCTCCGGTTACTCATGCGGTAAGCCAGGACCACTGAGAATCACGTGCAATGGAATCTATTTGACCTTCGAATCTGGATTTATAAACCCATGAAGAGAGAAAGAGAGCTGCTGCCTGCTGTATTGCACTGCTCATAAAATCTATGTATTATGATGGAGAATTAATTATTAATTAATTTCTTGATCACCTTTGACTCAATAATAATGACACTAAGTAGGGTACGGACGAGGATTAATATAATGATAATCACATGATTATGCCACCGTGTGGTACAAGGTTAGTTAATCCTGGAGGGACGACGTACGTTTTTCTTACTCCCTAACATGGGATTTGATTAACTCGAGGAAATGACAGATTACGCAAAGTCAAACCTAGTTTATCTATGTGAAAATAGGGTGTAGTTATGATCACGTTTAAAATTGTAAAGATTATATATATATATCAATAATGTAAATATATTTTATTTGATTATTAAAAATAATTAATAGTTATAATGGTTAATTAGCAACGAATAAAATAATTTATATATATTATCTAATAGTTTAAAATTAATATAAAAATTGATATTTTCAAGCAACAATTATGACTGATAAAATTAAAAAATTAAAAATATTTACAAAATTTTATGGGGTGATAACAATTCTTTATATCACTATAACATGGCCCATGAAAATACCTTGGAGCTAACAAGGTATGAAGGCTTGAATCAGAGAAGGATTTCTTCATTGTCTCATTATTGAATGGAGCAGTACAATTTATACATTACAGAATCTAATCCAACTAGGAAACACTATTACAATTCCAAATCTTTTACAATTGCAATTCCGAGATCTTCTAAATCTGGGATTTCATGGAGACAATCCAGGACTTCATGGAGGGGATTTACTTTCCTTAATACGCCCCCGCAAGACAATGGTGCCATTTGCAACTCCGATCTTGGACCGTAAGTGAGAAAACCGGATGGAAGAGAGGGGCTTTGTGAGCCCATCAGCAAGCTGATCTTGGGACACAATGTGGGAGACATGAAGAACACGTTGATCAACTAAATCCCGAACAAAATGCAAGTCTATAGCTATGTGCTTCATGCGCGAGTGCATAATAGGATTTAAGCTAAGATAGGTGGCGCCAATGTTGTCACAAAAGATGGCTGAAGAAGGGGAGCAAGAGATCCCAAGTTCACCAAGCAAATGTCGAATCCAGACAACTTTAGAGGCTGTAGCAGTGAGAGCACGATATTCAGCCTCGGTGGAGCTTTGAGCAACAGCTTTTTGCTTTGCAGCTCGCCAAGAGATCGGATTCTGACCAAGAAAAACTATATACCCAGTGGTGCTAACCATTGTATCCCGATCGCCAGCCCAGTCTGCATCTGAATAAGCATGCAAGTTGAGGGAAGATTGAGGTCGAAGAAGCAACCCGTGAAACAAAGTACCGCGCAAGTACCGCAGAAGTCGTTTTGTTGCTTGCCAATGCAGCTCTGTGGGTCGATGCATAAACTGAGCTAATTTGTTGACAGCAAATGATAGGTCAGGTCGGGTGAGAGTGAGGTACTGGAGGGAACCAATAAGACGCCCGGTAATCGGAACCATCGGAAAGAGCAATGCCAGAGAGGAGTTGCAGACCAGTATTAGTAGCAAGTGGCGTGGCAACCGACTTAGCCTCATGCATCCGAAAACGATGGAGGAGATCATTAACATACTTGTGTTGAGAGAGGAAGAGTCCTGCACTGGTGGGAATTGCTTCAATGCCAAGAAAATAGCTAAGAGTACCCAAATCTTTAATGGAGAATTTGGTACTCATGCAATTTATCAGAGAAGACACAACAGAGGGATCACTGCCAGTAATGAGGATGTCATCCACATAAACAAGGAAATAAATCCAGGTCGAATTTCGGTGATAAACAAACAAAGAGGAATCGGAGCGAGAATGGGAGAAACCTTGAGAGATAATAAACTGCTTGAGTTCCTGAAACCACACCCGTAGAGCTTGTTTTAACCCATAAATAGATTTCCGCAACCGGCACACGTGATGAGGAAGAGCAGGATCAACAAAACCAACTGGTTGTGCCATGAACAATTTTTCCTCAAGAAGCCCATGCAAAAAGGCATTGTTGACATCCAATTGACGAATAGGCCAATTCCTGCTAACAGCAATAGACAACACAGTACGAATGGTAGTTGGCTTAATCACCGGACTAAAAGTATTAGAGTAATCCAAACTTGGACGTTGATGAAAGCCTTTGGCAACAAGGCGTGCTTTGTAGCGTTCAATGCTACCATCTTTGGCTCGTTTAATACGAAACACCCACTTACAACCAATAAGGTGCTGATCAGGAGTAGAAGGAACTATTTCCCAAGTTCCTTGACGAACCAAAGCACTAAATCCCTCAGACATAGCCTTCTGCCAATTGGGATCTTTCAGTGCTTGAGTCACACAAGTGGGTTCACAAATGGGAACAGGAGAGGTGGAGACGGCCTGGTGGATGAATTTAGGCTTAAAGATGTTATTTTGAGAATGGGTAAGCATGGGGTGACTTCGAATGGGCTCCGGAGGGGGCAATGGTTGAGGTTGGGGAATGGGCTCAATGATAGGCTCAGGGGAGTGTGGAGGGAGAGGTGGAGAAGTGATGGAGGTGGGTTCGTGTGGCTGCTGGGATTCGGTGGAGGAGCAGAGGCTGGGCGGGTTGGTGAAGTAAAGGGAGGTTAGGAGGTGCGGACTGTTGCAGGAGGTACAGCTTCGTGAACCAAAGATTCATGAGGAGCCACAGCGGAGACAGCAGGTGGCGATGGCAGATCGTCTAGGCTATCCAACAGGAAATCAAGTTGTTGAAGACACGAGTGTTTAAAAGGTGCAGGAAAGGTGTGCTCTTGAAAAATAACATGCCGAGAATAAAACACTTTTTTTGTAGAAAGATCAAGGCATTTGTAACTCAAATTCTCAGAGAAGTATCCAACAAATAAACAAGGGCGAGAGCGGTATTGAAGCTTGTTGGAGTTATAGGGTCGGAGCCATGGAAAACAAAGACAACCAAAAACCCGAACTTTATGATAATTTGGCTTAAGACGAAACAATGTTTCAAAAGGAGATTTATGTGCAATGGCTTGAGAAGGGAGTCTGTTAATGAGGTAAGTGGCTGTGAGAAACGCAAATGACCAAAAATTAGAAGGAAGAGATGCAGTGTGCAATAGAGCAAGGCCAGATTCGACTATATGTCGATTTCGACGCTCGCTAATGCCATTAAATTCAGGAGTGTATGGTGGGGTAGTAAAATGTGAGATGCCACGTTGAGATAAAAAATGACGAAGAGCCACATATTCGCCCCCGCCATCAGTATGGAGGTTCTTGATTTTTGTATCAAATTAATTTTCAACCAATAATTTAAATTTTTGGAAAACCGAGAAGACATCAGATTTGCGTTTGAGTGGGTAAAGCCAAATATATCGACTAAAATGATCAATAAACAACACATAATAATTAAAACCATCAATTGAAGTAACAGAAGCAGGGCCCCACACATCAGAAAAGACATGTTCAAGTGGTGTAGTACTGGTGATGGATGACTCAGAAAAAGGCAATTTATGGCTCTTAGAGCATGAGCAAGAATCACATGAAGAAAAATGGATTTTATTAGATAATGGAAGATTAAAAGAAGTAACAACATTTTTTAGGGTCTTGATGGAAGGATGACCTAGACGAGAATGCCAATTTGCCATGGTAGTGCGTTCTCCTATGAAGGCATGTGGTTGAGGACTAATTTTTCCTTGAATTTGATAGATCCCATGAATGTTTGGTCCTTGAAGTAGTATCTTCCTCGTGCAAGAGTCCTTCACCAGAAAATAATTAGAGTGAAATTCAACATAAACATTAGCAGTTTTGCATAGTTGAGAAACAGAAATTAAATTTCGAGAGGCGGATGGAACACATAAGACATTATGAAGAGGCGGATGGAGCACATAAGACATTATGAAGAGGTAAGGAGGACTTTTGTGTGTGTAGGGTGGAGTGACCCACGTGTGTGATTTTCAAACCTGTTCCATCACCAATTTGCAGTTCATCAGGACCATTGTATTCAGAATGAAGTGCTAAGTTGGCCAAGTCTGTTGTAACATGATTATTAGCACCGGAGTCCAGCAAACAATCATCAAGAAAACCATTTGAAGAGGATGCAAAGTTAGCCATTGGGCCAATGGACTGGACCCGAAAACTGGGGCAATTTCGAGCCAAATGTCCAGCATGTCCGCATAATTGGCAAGTGAATCCAGTGGGCCGAGTTGGATACCTTGGGCCTTGTCCACGACGTCGATGCTGATTGGGCCTATTGGATTGATTAGAACTTCCCCGTCCACAGTGTTGTTGGGAATGCCATTGAGATTGTCGACCAAAGGTAGGAAAGGGGCCTGCACTGAAAGAGGTAGATGATATTAATCCAGCATTAGAAGCAAAGTAAGCTGTTACCGGGGAGAAAGAGATGAGTCACGAGTCCGGAGGGATGCAGCAATTTCCCGAAACTCCGGTCCTAGTCCATTGAGTATATAAACAGTGAGATCATCATCAGACAGTGGACGATCCACGGTGCCAAGCTCGTCTGCCACAATTTTCAGAGAGCGAAGATACTCAGAGACTGGATGACCATCACGTTTCATGGTTTGGAGCCGTTCCTTGAGGGTTATGACCCGTGTGCGAGAACAATTGGCATAAAGTTTGGCTAAGGTTTCCCAGGCTTGCTGTGCAATGGCAACGGCAGCTATGTAAGGAGTGATGTTCTCCGAAACAGAGGTAATTAAGGCATGACGGAGGAGCTGATCCTGGCGTGCCCACAGACTGTAGGTGGGCTCAGTTGCTACAGGACAAGGATGAGATCCGTCAAGGAAACCATCAAGTTCATAGCCTCCAAAAAGCGACACGAACTGAGCTTTCCAAGAGAGATAGTTGTTGGGTGTGAGTTTGACGAGAAAAGCTGCAGAGTTAAAGGAAATTGGATTCCCGGTGATGTTGGGTTCAAGCATGGTTACGGCCAAGTGTTTGGATGCTGCTGAGTTGGGAGTTTCGTCACGAGTAGCCATAGGATCAGAGATCTCGTGAGAGAAGGTATGCTCTGATACCACTAACAAGGTATGAAGGCTTGAATCAGAGAAGGATTTCTTCATTGTCTCATTACTGAATGGAGCAGTACAATTTATACATTACAGAATCTAATCCAACTAGGAAACACTATTACAGTTCCAAATCTTTTACAATTGCAATTCCGAGATCTTCTAAATCTGGGATTTCATGGAGACAATCCAGGACTTCATGGAGGGGATTTACTTTCCTTAATAGGAGCGTCAGGTAATATGACTCAAATCTGTTTACAAAGGAGTGTTTAATTATGATTCAAATTTGTTACCAAAGATTAGAGCGGAAGAATCTCACATTGATTAGAGATTAAAATACTATTATGTTCATTCAGACTCTCCTTTACCGGTAGAAAAATGAGAAAACTATATGTTGTAGCTTTAACTGCACTAAATTAAAAAACAAACTTATCGTATATATCAAAATACAAGAGTAATGTGTAGAAAGTTAAAATCAGAACATTTAATTTCTTTTATAAATAAAAAGTAAGATAATTAAAGAAAAAGAAATAAAGTATTTATAATTTTTTTTATCTATATTGCACATGTTGGGCCCATCATACTAGAATTGCCTCATTGTTAACCCATGTATAAGTTGATAAGAACAACACCAACATGCGCACCAGTTTGATTTTAAATTAGAAACCCACATAGCATGAGTCAGATTATTTTCTACCAATGACTTCTTGTTAAGTACAAGAAAGTAGATTTTTCTTAAATAGTTTTTTGAAATCGAGTCTTGTAACGAAGAGATAGGTATTAAGAAAATTTCTTCCTTATAGGTTTTGATATTACTCGACTTTAAATTAGTTGAGATTCAATGTAGTTTTTAAATATTAAGAAGTTTAGTATAAAAAAAATAAGTCTGATTATTTTCTAACACAACCAAGGGTCAACAATCAAATTTAGGTGCACGTGAGACTAATTATGTGAAAAATCACGCAAGACTTACAGCTGAAATCATTAAGCCGTTGGTTTTATTTTTCTTTTCTCTTTGGCCAGTGAAATTTGGTAATGTTTAATATAGAAGAAATTAAAGCATAAAAAAGAGAAGGAAAAAAACTAAAAGAAAGATATAATATTTTATTATTCAAAGATATAATAATGTGTACATAGATAGTCTTTATATAAGTATTGAATAACCATTGATCAAGAAACCTAAATACTCTAAATCAATCTAGCATAATTATTCTAAGACTTATTTATTTATTTATTTATAGTTAGGGTGTTTCCAAACCAGCATTAAGACTAATCTCTTCTTGTGCAATCTTAAGAATGCACCTCTCATAGTCACATGACATATTTAAAGAAATTAATTTTTGTAGATGTTGGATCTTCAAGACTTAAGAGTTTTAAATTTGTCCTATAAAATAACACATACTTACTAATAAATTTAACTCTTAAAGTTATTCTTAAATTATTATCATAAGTGACTCAATAATTATTAATGAGTATCTCTTAATATCTCTCAATATCTTTAAGGTTCAGTTATAGGATTCTGGTCATGATATATATATATATATGCTCATTCCTCTCCGATGCTGCAGATACATTACCGATAATAGGTCCTTTAAGCTGCATTTTATTTAGCTCCTGGCTTCCAGCACTAAAAACTAGTAGGAGTAGTCAAAAAGTATACAAATCTTTTTATCAATACATAAATTGTTAATCTCTAGAAAATGTTAATAAAAAAAAAAAAGACAATTATTTGAAAATAGAGAAAGTAATTTAAAAGTTGTATTTATTATTATGTATTGTCATGTAGGCAAAGTATTACGCCTGCGATTAAGCTCAAAACCATTAGGGAGCGTTTGGTTTCACTTTCCCTGGAAGATATTTCTAAGAAACTAGAAAAATTCATTTAGTCGACTGCAACCATGAATTTAACTTATCTGACACAACTTTTAAGACAAAAAATGTAGTTGATTATATTGTTAACATAACCGGTTACTATGAAGTTTAAATAACATCAACGAGGGGTTGGATCAAGTGGTAAACGGCTTGTTCCAACTTAAGTAAGGTCTCGAGTTCGAATTCTTGTGTACGCAGCAGCTCTCGCTGGGAGACTCACTGATCATTTCCAGGTGTGCGACGCGGATCGAATCTGGATTAGTCGAGGCGAAGCCCCAGATACCGAGCAAAAAACCAAAATAAAAAAAAAAAGTTTAAATAACACCAACGAGGGGTTGCATCAAGTGGTAATCGTTTTGTTTCAATTTAAGTAAGGTCTCGAGTTCGAGTACTTGTGTACGCAGCAGCTCTTGCTGGGAGACTCACCTATCATTTTTCAGGTGTGCGACGCAAGTCGAATCCGGATTAGTCAGGACGAAGCCCCGGATACCGGGCGGGAAACAAAAAAAAAAAAAAAAAAAATTTAAATAACACAACCAATCTTGATCGGGAAACTATTTGCAGCCTTGATAGTTCACTGTATAGCTTTATAACTGGTTACCTGACATTTTAAACTAACTATATTTCGTCCCAATTATTGTCTTAGGAGATTATTTTTTTAATTAAGCCAAGCCGGCTACATAAAATTATCAGTTTCCTCGAAAATACCTTCTGGCTAAGGTGAAACCAAACACACCTTAGCGGATGTTTGGTTGGAGGAAATTTTTTTTCTTAAATTTTTAAAATTTTATTTTATAAATTATTTATATATTTTTATATATTAATATCATAATAAAATAAACGTAAAAGTGGGATTTTGAGTATTCATTTTTCCCTGGCACAACTCACAACTAATAAAATTCCTTTTTTACCTATTTTGAAAGAAAAAATTTTCCCTATAACTTTTAATATTGGAATTGTTTAACAACTTTTGTTTACTAACTATCTTTATATTAATTTCTCATCAAATACAATAAAGTTAACTCCTCATCAAAATTCTAATAAAACTTTATTATAAAACTTAACAACTTTTTACACAATATTTTTTAACTTTTCATAAAATACTTTTCTAACTATTTTTCTAATAAAAACTTTCTTAATAAGATGATATTTTAATCAAGGAAAATGATTGGTATACCCTGTAAAATTACACACTCTGTTACAAATTGATGGTTTTTATTATTTTTGTCGTTAAAATTAACAGTTTCCATTACTTGTGTTATTAAAACTAACAGTTTCCGTCACTTGTGCCATTAAAATTAACGATTTTTGTCAGTGTGCAACGAAATGTGTAATTGTACAAGGTGTATGTATCATTATCCTTTAACCAAACAGGCCTAAGTGCTA